TCTCGGTGTGAATATGATGATGAGAAGTAATAGCTTTTAAGTCAATGTTTGAAGCCGGGGCGAACTTTGTCTCTTGGACACAGGCCCCAAGTGGGCACAGTGTAACCTGTATGTGTTGAAATTCTAGAATGGAAGGTCGGAGTCCTCTGGCATTCCACTGCAGGACCGCCATTAGACCATTTGTTAAAGATTTGGAGCACAGAGGCCCCGTCTTCTCTGAGCTCTGACTCCTCCTTGTGGGGGAAGAAGAGGATTTGCTTGGCTGCCGCCCTTTATTGGGCAGCATCCAACCGGGAGACTTGGGGAGGGAGTTACGGCTTCCTTCCTTCCCGGATCGGAGGTGTCATCCTCCTAAGGGAGGGGGTATCTGGTGGAGGGGTAGGGGTAGGTAGGGCAGACGAAGGGAGTTGGAAAGAAGGGGGAGGGGCTGGATGAGGGGGAGGGGGCACCTCAAACACCATCAGAGGGGTGGGGCGTGGGGAGAGAGAAGAAGAGGGGACGGAGGAAGAGTCCACATCGTCCTCCCCTAGAACTCTGAAACAGTTGGCGAGTGGCCCCTCGAAGGTGGTTACTACAGGGGTAGGAGGTACCTTCTTAGTTTTATTGCAGTTTCGCCTGTTGACCACGGGCTCTTCGAGGTTGGCAGTAGAAGTACTGGCCGACGTCGATACCGGCCGGACTGGACTGCCTTTGCGTTTAACCGACCAGGGACCGGGGTCATAACTGTCGGGTAGACAGTCTTTCGAGCCTTCTGAAATGAGCAGCCATTTCGGGCTTTGACTCTTGGATGGTGCGTTCTTGGAACCAAGTGTTGGCCGTGGCGATTGTGAGAGAAAGAAAGGACTAGCACTAGTCTTTCATACCTTTTCAGGATGCCCGGTCTTGCCACGACGAGTACACACGTCTGCGTGTCGGCATCACGACTGGCCACGGCCAAATTTCTGGCACTTGAAGCAGCGCAGAGGGTTTTACACTTAGGGTTGCATGTCCAGGACCAGGTATGCTGCTCGAACAGTGGCTGGTGGGCAGCACGAATCGAAAGTCAAAACAATTGTGTTCCTTTCAAGGGCAGTCTCGCCCCGCCGAAGAGTCATCTAGCGGGCTTCGACCACACCCTCACAATATCGCTACAATTTTTTTTCTGAAGAGCAGCCTTTCACCTCATGACTGCGGACGACGCTCTTCGAGCAGTTGACCTACTTGTGTCTCCAAGATTCACAGGAATACCATGGAAGGTCGTGAGATCCAGGGGTCCAGTTATTTCTGTTTCATATGCAAGGAGTGCACCAGAAGACAGTTTTTGGACGTTGGCGGGGATGTGTCCCAGTGTCTGTGTTAAAGCATCTCCTGTTATGAAAATGGTTAGATCTGTGATCTTCTTCTCTGTGCATCGAAGTTGCGGATGGTCAAGTACGGCTGCTTTGGAGGCTCCCTGGAAGGAGGGAGAGCACAAGCAGCCGTAAAGATCGGTTTTCGTGGTTGTCTGCTCGGCTCGGTGGCTACACTCGCTTCTGCGAGCAGAAACTTTTTTAGTATCCTTGGGGACTGGAGATGGGTCAGAATGTTTTGGAGGATTCAATGTGTGTTGGGATGCTCTTCGACTTCGGGGCTCCCCGCCCACCAACGAATCAAAGAGGGGATCTCTCCAAAGTCTAGACATTCTGTTAAAATGTGTCTAATGGTAAAATCTGTGTCGCACGGCTTCTCATCTCCCTGTGGGTCAGGGCCGTGTGTCCGATGCGCAATCGAGTAAAAATGACTTTGTCTCTTCTGGAGAGGTCCGAAGGATTTCGCTGTTCTAGTTTGGGTTTTATTTCATATAGTTTATTATTTTTCTGGTTTTCCCAGTGGCTCTCCCACAGACTGGAGGTGTACTTTTTGACTTTATTTCTAAAGTCAGTCTGTGGGAGAGCGTTTGTCGTTGATCCCAGCAGAAGGGATGAAGCTTTCTTCGCCAGGTCGTCTACCTGCTCGTTTTCTCGGATGCCCACATGGCTGGGTATCCATGCGAACATGATGTTTTTTCCTGTTTCGGATAGTGTATGGAATTTCTGTTGTAGCCTAATTATTTTTGGGTGTAAGAGTGTGTAGTTTGTGAGTAAGGTGATGCAAGACAGAGAGTCAGAAAGGATAAGGAAATATTTGTTAGGATAATTTTCTACAGAGTCCAGTGCCATGTCAATGGCAGTGGCCTCCGCAGAGAAAATGGAGGCTTCAGGATGGAGTCTCTTCTGGTGTGTACTGTTGGAAGATAGGGCTGCGGCGCCCACTTCATTGTCTTTTTTGGAGCCATCTGTGAAGATGACCTCCGCACCGGGGTATTTATCTATTAGTTTTTTTGTATTCTGCTTGAAAAGTTTTGGTGTTTGTGCTTATTTGTTGTGTGTGGTCAGCTGTAAGTCTACTTTTGCCTTGGTGAGGTGCCACGGAGGGAGGTCGGGGAAAAGAATTTGTTGGATGTCTTGTTTGGAAAAGTTTAAGTTTTTGAGGTCATCAAGGATTCTGAGGCCGAAGGGTTTGATGAGGTTTTCGTTGTTTTTGGAATTTGTTTATGGTTTCTGGATTTGTTTTAAAAAGGCTGTTGTGCGCTGGATTTTCCGGTGTTGAGCTCTGTTTAACTGCGTATTGTAGTGAGAGTTGTAAGGGACTTAGAAAGTTGGGGATATGTGGTCTCTGAAAGAGTCAGGCACCAAAAGGGAAGAAAACCCCCCGAGCGATCTCAGTTCCTCGTCTGTATATGAATGTAAGTTTTCTGTCGTGGGTCTTA